TGTTGTTGTTGTTAAGTGCCATCAAGTCAGTTCCAATTCCTAGTGACCCTGTACAGGATTTCCGAGGCTGTAAATCTTTATGGGAGCAGAAAGCTTCATCTTTCTCCCATGGAAGAGCTGGTAGTTTCGAACTGCTGACCTTGAGGCTAGCAGCCTGATTCGTAACCACTATGCTACTATATATATATAGTTGTTGTTGTGGTTAAGTGCCATCAAGTTAGTTCTAACCCATAATGACCCTGTATAGGGTTTCTAAAGGGCAGCTGGTGAGCTTGAACCTGATCTTGCGGTTTAAACTGACTTTGCAGTCCAGAGCATTTACCCTCAGTGTCACACCAGGACTCCATATATAGATATAGACATACATAGACAGACAGACAGATAGGTAGGTAGATAGATACAGATATACTGCTAGGAATAATCATAAACCTTTGCAAAGTAGAACTTCTCTCAGATTCCTAGGACTGCCATACAAAATACTATAAAGTAGGTTCCTTTAAAGAACAAAAATGTATTGTTTCACAGATCTGGAGACCAGAAGTCCCAATTTAGAGTATCATCAAGACTATGGTCTTAGTGCCTTTTTCTAAAGAAAGATCCTTCTTTGTATCCCTTAGATTCTTGGCATTTTTCGGCTGTTAAATCCATCCTTACATGGTGTTATAGTTAGGGTATTGTGTCCACTTGGCCAGGCCTGGATTCTCAGCGATTTAGCAGTTAAGACATAGTAATCCCCCATGTTGAGATTTAATATCATGTAATTACCTTTATGATATGATCTGAAGTGACCAGCCCTAATCTGATGGAATTATCCTATGTGTTATAAATCCTCATTTCTGTGAGACTGAATGCAAGCTATAGGATTAGGCTGTATCTTGAGTCAATCTCTTGATCTATCACAGGATAAAGAAGTGAGCAGAGAGAGAGGGACTTACTACCACCAAAATAACAGAGCTATGAGTGGAGTAGGTCTTTTGGACCTAGGTCTCTGCACTGTGAAGCTCCTAGGTCCAGAAAAAAGATTGATGTCAAGTTGCAAGGAGATCTCTAAGAAATAGATGCTGAAAGGAGACAAGGTCCTTTCCCCAGAGCTGAGATACACCTTTCCTCTAGAGCTGGAGCTCTGAGTTTGGAGTTTTAGCCTCCTAAAATGTGAGACAATAAAATTCTGCTTATTAAATCCATCCACTTGTGGTATTTCTGCTATAACAGCACTAGATAACTAATACAAGATTTTGTTTTCTCTTTGTTTTGTGTTATAAAACATCACTCTTCAGGGGTTAGTACCCGCCCTACCTTGGTATGACCTTGTTAACTATTAATGCATTCAAAGAAAAATTCTCTTTGCAAACAAGGTCACAATAACAAGTACAGGGATTAGTACATTAATGTATATTTGGGGGGACACACTCAATTCACAACAGTTCTACTTCAAATTTTATGCTTTCAAATACTGAATGCAGATTAGCAATGCAATCAGTTGGTCCTGTTTGCTTCCTTTCCCAACAGTAGTGACTTCAAATCTTCAATACTATTTAATATTCTCGAAGACTTTTTCCTAGAGTTTCCTAAATATCTTGTCTTCTTTATCCCAGAGAAAATAGGATTATCACCTAATAGTCCACAAACTAATTCCCCTCCACTCACTGTAACTACATCCCCTTCTATTATTCTTAGTACCTTCTACTCTATCTGATGATAATAAGTATCTTGGTTCCTGTCTTCTGTTCTGTACCCTTCATTGCAATTGGGAGTCCCATTTCCTTGTTTTCAATTGTTTCACTTTCTACTGGAACCACTCCTTCAGTTATAAGTACAATGTAGTCTCCCCCACCTTCATACAAATAAGCTCACACATCCCAACCCTTCATCCTTTGTATCTAACTTTCATTTTAGAAGTCTAGATTTTTAAGACAGAATTTCCCACTTGTCCCCATCTTTTCTCTTCCTACGTGTCAACCCACCAGCTTTGATACTTTTCTCACGGAATTATCATTGGACACTCCCTCATTAAAATGTTTTCCTTGACTTCTGTGTACCACTCCTCCTACTTCTTACTATTTTTCTTCTGGACTTCAAGACCTATCCTTACCCTGCAAATGTTTTAAATATCACAATCAAAGAAATCACTCCATCTGTCTCTTTTCAATATGTACACATTCTCCAGCATAGTGACGTAAGTTCATATTAACAGGCATCAGTGAGGAATGAATCCAAATCCATAGTTTTAGTACTTATATCCATGCTGAAGATTCCAACATGTCTATCTTTAGGCTTGTGTTACAAAAGAACGAGGTCAAACTGATATCCAATTATGCAAAACTTGTCCAAACATTATTTAATTCCCCAATGTGCTTTCTCTTATATTCTCTACCTTAGAGAATGGTATCCACAGTTATCTAAGTCAGATATCCTGGAACCATCTTAGAATCTATTTGCTCCCATGCTTTCTCATGTCCAACTATCACTACACCATGGTGGTATATTCACCACCATAAATATCTGTCAAATCTCTCTGCTCCATTTGCTATCATTTCTTGGCTGCATATATTTATCACATATTTCCTAGGCTATTAAAAACAAACAAACAAACAAAAACCTGACACATGCATTCATTCATATACCCCAAATCCTTCCAAACAATAATATTCACTGTTGCTAGAATAAACATCCCAAAATATAATCTCACCATATGCTTGCTATACTAGCTTAATATACATACAGTGAAACCTGTAAGAGCTGTTGCTGTGTTTTTCAGAGTCTCACAAATTTTCTGCTTTTAACAAAGTGCAGTTTTACTAATTCTCTATCCCTCTATATTAGTGGGAATATTTGAATTATAATTTTTTGACTAATTACCACCTTTTACAGGTTCTGGATTTCATAAGTTTTACTCTATTTCACTGGCACATCATTGGAATATCACATAAATTTCTTGGCTTGGTTTTTTGGTTTTGTCACTTACCTTATATCCCTTCAATTTAATATAATACATTCCACTTGAGCAATATATAATCATTTAAACTCTTGAAAATTATCTAGTCTCAAGGTGTTTCACAGGTGCTATTTAATATTCTTGAAACCTTTTTCCTAGAATTTCTTAATATCT